GCCATGGCCATGTGAAAACTGTGGTTTCTTGATAATCGAATCCTAACCAGTTGACTGGTTAGACTGTGGGGTTTTCCTTATTCAACTTGCTACTTTCATAAGGATAGTTTTCAAGACTTTATTTGTGAAAGAGAACAGACTTCTTTCTTTCAACCAACTGCAACCTAATAGGGGTCTTTTCGAAACAACATTCAAGCAAATCGGATAACACTTTTTTTATTCCTTTACCTTCTCAGTGGAACAGGCTTTGAAGTTAGAGGCAAGGAGGCAAAGGATCGCGTCGGCCGAGGATCGAACCCCAAACTGCATGCGAGGTTGGCAAGCATTCCACCGCTGTGCCACCGACGCTTCGATACCATACGCGGATAGATTTACCTGGAAGGTGATTAAAGCACTCAGAGGACAATTTACAATAAATAATAAAAAGTCGGTAGTTCAAATAACTAACTGTCAAGTATATCTCGATCCAGGAAACCTACTCTTAAGTAACCAAAGGGCTATTGAGTCTGAAAAGCAAGTGATAGGTACCTGTGTCTATCATTGCTTTCAAAAAGAAGGGGGGAAAATACTCCAACTAGTCTGAATCTTACTAGGACGTTCATTTTTTCTGCTTAAACAGAAAAATTTATTAGCGACATTTCGAGACACACCTTGACAATGTTCACCCATAATTAATATCAAAGCCAAAACTTAGACCGTAAGATAATCTAATGATTTTTCTAGCTCTTAAAACAATAGGCACACACACACATAGGAAACCTACAACAACAGATCAGTACACTCATTTTTCCTGTTTTGCACCTTTGAAATGCAAACGTAACTTGGCAAAGTGTCTGGTTAATACAGCTAGGATAATCTGTTCAAACGACTCCCTCAATGAGGAGCTTAAGACTACTAGAGAATTAATTACTTAGTAAAAGTGGTCATCTAGATAAGTTCATTGAGAATAATGTGAATTTAGCAACAAAACAAGTCACTGGGGCAGAAGCTCCAAAAAACCATTATTCATAAAACTGCAATTCCTCAGTGATAGCATCAACAAGATATAAACACCATGCTGGAAGAATGCAGTTAAAGAGCTTTCAATGCAGGTGAGCTACGTTGTCTCTTCACTACCACAACCACCAACCCCCCCCCATAAATGAAAAGCAAATATCTCCTCACTAAATGATTTTGCTACATCTATACAATCAAAACAAGAATATTGACAAAGTTAGATTAATTCACTTACAAAGCATGAGCCACATTCAATTATTCATCGGCTGTTGAGATAATTTCTTACGTGACCGTAAACGTGCAGCGATTGGTTTGTCTTCACTAGAATACAAATATGTATTACAGAGAATGAACATTAGTTGGAAGTATGAAAACTAACTCTGTCAAACAGACAAAAATCAATGGCGTGAAAATAAGATAACCAGCAAAGGATTAACGCCAGCCTTCAGCTCACCACAATAAATTCTAGAACTTCGTCAGAAAAAATAACAGCGTTCATAGATCATTAAATGAAAACTCAATGGGCGGATTTTCAAGTTTGACTGGTTTCTGATACATCGTCACCAACCGACAAATCACACATGACAATAATTCCAGAGTGCTCGGTTAGTCCCAGAATAGAAAAATTCTCCATATTTAACCCTAGTATATGGAGGCTTCTTGTTACCCGACACACTAATCTACTTCTTAGTATATGGAACTCCAAGCACTGATTTGCACCACCACCACACTTAATGGCTTCAAAAGTTTTCTCAAACCTAATCCAATGTCGGCCAACTTTCTCGTCGAGGAGGGTGATGGCTTCGCATGAGCAACACGTCTCCTAGCCATCTCTATCCCAATCGATGTAGCTTCACAGCATCACCCGTTGACCTTCCCTCCCTCCGTAATACTCTACACCTAACCTCAATATTACTCAACATATTATACCACTTAACACAGAGAATAGGACGCGAACATCTTTGGTTAAAGAAAGCTAGCCTTTTCATATCTCCCACTTTCGATAGCAATGTCTCACAGCCAGCCATAAGGGAATACAGAGCCAACTGCTGCGCAGTACACACGTTCCATAGCCGGATATAAATACTAAGCCGGAGATGTAGTAAATTGGCAAAAGCCATATGAGCCATTTGTATCTACGCTAAGTTCCCATCACCAATAGGTCCACTGGGGCTGATGCAACTTCCAACTTCACTTCTTACCTTTAAACTAGAACTCGGTGAAGATCAGTCCTGCGGCATTATCTTATGCTTAACAGGAGTGAATCGCATGACGAACATTGGCAGATTTTTTTTTGTTTCCACATCGAACTTTTTTGGTACAAGTATGGGATTTTTAGCATATAGTATCGGTAGCCCAAGTTCTGCAGGCTGACCACTGATATCGGATGTGCGACGGCAGGGGATCGAACCCCGGACCATTTGCACGGTCGGCGAGAGTCCTAACCGCTGTGCCACCAACGCACAGCTCTTAAACCGCTGCATTAGTCCCAGTAGGGCACTTTGATTAGTGTCATATACTTTCTCGACACTTTCCTTATGGCAATGGTGCAGTTGCATCCACTCATTGTGATTTATCATATCCAATCAAATTCTATTGTTCTTCCATATTACTTTTCTTTTGCCTCATATTTCTGTTGATTTTCTTTTTTGAATCTCTCTTCTCTTGCTTTCTGTGCTACATGGAGTGTGCCAACTCGAATTGATGCACCTCTATGCAAAGTCAAACGCTGAAACCAGTCAGTCAGTCAGTCACTTTCTTCATGACCAAACATCGTCGCAGCACTTCTCACTCGACGACGTCACATTCCGATGTCGGGATAACAATATAGAGAAGATTGGACGTCAGTAAGTACCCCTGTGTTCCAAAATCCATCAGAGGCTGATTATATGATCGACACGATTTCGTCTGTCTTTTTTGGGCATGATTATTGAACCTAGAACTTTAGATACAATATTAGCCAAACTGATTCCCACACGATTATCACAGGAAGACTTATCCCAATTCCTATACACTGGGAAAAAATCATTGATTTACACCAGTTCAACGGAACTATCTCTGCATCTGAGATTTCACCGAACATCTCAGTGAACCCAGACAGCAGTTACTAATCACCACAGCTCTTACACACCAAATACTTGTTTGCTGTTGCAGAACACCAGATGCAGTTTGAATCTCGACAGTTTTGATGCCCACGACTGCTCAAAGTCCCGGCGTATATTTCCCAGCAGTTCGAGATAAAGCACGTTTCACTCACCATCATGTCCAGAGAAGACCGCCAACAAGCCTAATGCCTAGATCATGTAAGAAGGAGTAACAACAATTATCACCGTTTCAACAGTAGGCAGAATAATAAACGATGCGTCCAACGTTGATTCCCATCCGAATTCCACATACATATCTACTTCATCCCGCATCCTGTGGGAACACACAGCTCTCGTCATATTCCCCACATCGAGGCTTCGTTCGATTTCCTTGCAACGGCAGTCACACCAAAAACAACCAGCTGATCTTACAGTCAAGACATACGCCACAGCAACTAAAACTAACACAACTAAATTATCCACGCGTACATCAAATACAGGCAATGGTAAAGATTATTGATCCATACCATCCATAAGCGACTCAATGACTTTGAGGCGCCCAATCAGGGTTTACGTGAGTTATGATGAGGTCATAATGGAGAAATTGAGCTTCTTACTAATAACCAATGCTGTTCAAGATCTATGGAGCATATGCAATCCGGGAAAATGCCTAGAACCAAATCCTAACCCTAGCAGCTATAAATCTCATCTCGTAACCCTAGCTGCTGCACGTAAGTTGTAGTCATTTCTATGGATACGCACATTCCTATTTGGGAATGGCAGTTATTCTCGAGGCATCTCAAATCACGGAACCTGTTCAACATTCTTACACCTCTTCAAACTTTCTTTCATGAACGTAATTTCTTCACACTGTATATTTATGAATTATTGAGTCTACTACTACTTTCTTCAACGCCCTTTAATCAAGGGTAGAGATAAATACTGCATGTGCTACAGTATCCTAATTCTATCGGCTATTCCCATCTGTAACAATGACTAATTTAACTTTCATTTCTACTGTGTGTCTAGGTTTGCTTCAGAAGCATTGGATTCTCCGCGTTATTTCCGAACATCTAGATTCCGGTTATCATGAGAGAAGTGTGAGACGTGGTTTTCTTCAGCTCAGACTGTTATTAATGATGACAGAGTTAAGAGAAGGTGGAACACCTAACTGCTCAGTGCTATCGATAGTAACAGGAAAACAAGATGAAGATGGACGATGATGATGTTGATGATTCATATCCTTATGAAAGTGTGTGAGTGGTTACAACCTGCCTGCCGGTTGCACACACCAAACTGATTCTCAACCGAAAACTTTCCGAAAACCATACAGCAGTTCCAATTCGCTACCCTCCATATATATATATACATATATACATATGGAGTATCTGCGCCATTGTCTTCCTACTCTTATTGCCTATTTACTCTTTGAATTTACCAGTATTCACTATTTTGAGGAGAGTTATATGACATATTTATATATATAGATATATATACATATATATATATATATATATACATAGGCTCGTAAGTGTTTCACCCATATTTGTATTCTAGCAAGATAGTAAAAGCTTCCCAGTAGATATCGATGCGTTCGGTGACAAATGCCTAGTCGACTTTAACTGGAACTTTACATTCTCCTAGAATGAATATCAGATTAGGTCAGTATAAGAAGACAACAGTTAGTTATTGCAATCACTATTTATAATTAACTAAAGGAAAGTCTTTCATCTGTTATGTGGAGGGGTAACTACACTACCTCTGTGCAAACAATGGGTAGCTGACTCCTACTCACTTACTTCTCACTTCTGAAAGACACTTAATTAAAGCACAAGGAAGTCGAAACTATAAAATAAACTATCGTAACGCATAACACATAAATCAGCATATCACTCAAAATCAACAATTCAAAAAACTTACGTATTTGAAGCGGTCCTTTCCTAAAACACAACAATTATAATAACAATACAGAATTGATACTGCAGAATAAATGTAACACTAGTTCTCACATATATTTTCATTCAAACCAAAAACTTAACACCTTCAGAACACAGATAGGTAACAAGACAGTCACAGTGTTCCAAATAACTTGAACAAAAATCTCAGCATGTTCGGTAAGCCCAATAAATCGTAGAAACAAAAGTCTATCGAAAACACTACACTGAGGATAACTTTTAACATTAGCATCTCTAACAGCAGACATATTCTATACATATATGCATAGATATACATATATATATATATATATATATATGTATATATATATATATATGTATATATAGCAACGTTTGAACAACTTATCATTCGTGTGCTTTATTTCACAATCATTCGATGTTATTCTGCAACGACGCTTTTCCTCTGTTCAAATTTATACATCGGAATTCGAGTATGAATACAATTTTACTTAAAAACAACAGGTGCACATCCATTATCATAAGGAAAATCAAAACCAAGCAACAACAACAACATACCTTGCGACCAGATGAATCGCCTGGACCCGGAGTAGATACCATATCCGGTTCCAGACATATAAATGAGCCGTACTCCACCTCGCGACGCCTTTTTGATGCTTTCGGTCTGCGAATCACGGTAGGAGGAGGAGAAGGTGTGCGACTTATCACGTTGCTTCGTAACTTCCTAAATTCCGGAACACTCGTATACTCATCTCGCTCCCTTATACTAGTAGAGACACACAGAGAGAGACAGACAGAAAAAGAAAGAAAGAGATTCGAAACAGTTTTACTTATAAACAACTTTATAAAGCACGACATACTTATTAGGACAAAAAAACATTTATCATTGTTATCATTTCCCTGGGGGTTCCAAGTGGAAAGCACAGCTTGAAACGAGACACTCGGTATGCAAAAGTCAGCCATTCCAAAGACAAAAGGATAGTCAGGAGCATGCTTCTATATCTTAATGAGCACTTTTATCGGAAAAAAATTATCCTTAATGAAAATTACTTGAAACCCTTCCGTCTTCATAAGGAGTAATAATTACTTGTTTCCACAACCGCAGATGACTATAGTTTGACTACCAGTTTGCCTCAGAACAGTAAAATGTAGCTAAATACAATTCTTCTTGTCAGTGAATAACGTATTTCACATACACATCTACTTCATCCCCCATCCTGTGGGAACACACAGCTCTCGTCATATTCCCCACATCGAGGCTTCGTTCGATTTCCTTGCAACGGCAGTCACACCAAAAACAACCAGCTGATCTTACAGTCAAGACATACGCCACAGCAACTAAAACTAACACAACTAAATTATCCACGCGTACATCAAATACAGGCAATGGTAAAGATTATTGATCCATACCATCCATAAGCGACTCAATGACTTTGAGGCGCCCAATCAGGGTTTACGTGAGTTATGATGAGGTCATAATGGAGAAATTGAGCTTCTTACTAATAACCAATGCTGTTCAAGATCTATGGAGCATATGCAATCCGGGAAAATGCCTAGAACCAAATCCTAACCCTAGCAGCTATAAATCTCATCTCGTAACCCTAGCTGCTGCACGTAAGTTGTAGTCATTTCTATGGATACGCACATTCCTATTTGGGAATGGCAGTTATTCTCGAGGCATCTCAAATCACGGAACCTGTTCAACATTCTTACACCTCTTCAAACTTTCTTTCATGAACGTAATTTCTTCACACTGTATATTTATGAATTATTGAGTCTACTACTACTTTCTTCAACGCCCTTTAATCAAGGGTAGAGATAAATACTGCATGTGCTACAGTATCCTAATTCTATCGGCTATTCCCATCTGTAACAATGACTAATTTAACTTTCATTTCTACTGTGTGTCTAGGTTTGCTTCAGAAGCATTGGATTCTCCGCGTTATTTCCGAACATCTAGATTCCGGTTATCATGAGAGAAGTGTGAGACGTGGTTTTCTTCAGCTCAGACTGTTATTAATGATGACAGAGTTAAGAGAAGGTGGAACACCAAACTGCTCAGTGCTATCGATAGTAACAGGAAAACAAGATGAAGATGGACGATGATGATGTTGATGATTCATATCCTTATGAAAGTGTGTGAGTGGTTACAACCTGCCTGCCGGTTGCACACACCAAACTGATTCTCAACCGAAAACTTTCCGAAAACCATACAGCAGTTCCAATTCGCTACCCTCCATATATATATATACATATATACATATGGAGTATCTGCGCCATTGTCTTCCTACTCTTATTGCCTATTTACTCTTTGAATTTACCAGTATTCACTATTTTGAGGAGAGTTATATGACATATTTATATATATAGATATATATACATATATATATATATATACATAGGCTCGTAAGTGTTTCACCCATATTTGTATTCTAGCAAGATAGTAAAAGCTTCCCAGTAGATATCGATGCGTTCGGTGACAAATGCCTAGTCGACTTTAACTGGAACTTTACATTCTCCTAGAATGAATATCAGATTAGGTCAGTATAAGAAGACAACAGTTAGTTATTGCAATCACTATTTATAATTAACTAAAGGAAAGTCTTTCATCTGTTATGTGGAGGGGTAACTACACTACCTCTGTGCAAACAATGGGTAGCTGACTCCTACTCACTTACTTCTCACTTCTGAAAGACACTTAATTAAAGCACAAGGAAGTCGAAACTATAAAATAAACTATCGTAACGCATAACACATAAATCAGCATATCACTCAAAATCAACAATTCAAAAAACTTACGTATTTGAAGCGGTCCTTTCCTAAAACACAACAATTATAATAACAATACAGAATTGATACTGCAGAATAAATGTAACACTAGTTCTCACATATATTTTCATTCAAACCAAAAACTTAACACCTTCAGAACACAGATAGGTAACAAGACAGTCACAGTGTTCCAAATAACTTGAACAAAAATCTCAGCATGTTCGGTAAGCCTAATAAATCGTAGAAACAAAAGTCTATCGAAAACACTACACTGAGGATAACTTTTAACATTAGCATCTCTAACAGCAGACATATTCTATACATATATGCATAGATATACATATATATATATATATATATATATATGTATACATAGCAACGTTTGAACAACTTATCATTCGTGTGCTTTATTTCACAATCATTCGATGTTATTCTGCAACGACGCTCTTCCTCTGTTCAAATTTATACATCGGAATTCGAGTATGAATACAATTTTACTTAAAAACAACAGGTGCACATCCATTATCATAAGGAAAATCAAAACCAAGCAACAACAACAACATACCTTGCGACCAGATGAATCGCCTGGACCCGGAGTAGATACCATATCCGGTTCCAGACATATAAATGAGCCGTACTCCACCTCGCGACGCCTTTTTGATGCTTTCGGTCTGCGAATCACGGTAGGAGGAGGAGAAGGTGTGCGACTTATCACGTTGCTTCGTAACTTCCTAAATTCCGGAACACTCGTATACTCATCTCGCTCCCTTATACTAGTAGAGACACACAGAGAGAGACAGACAGAAAAAGAAAGAAAGAGATTCGAAACAGTTTTACTTATAAACAACTTTATAAAGCACGACATACTTATTAGGACAAAAAAACATTTATCATTGTTATCATTTCCCTGGGGGTTCCAAGTGGAAAGCACAGCTTGAAACGAGACACTCGGTATGCAAAAGTCAGCCATTCCAAAGACAAAAGGATAGTCAGGAGCATGCTTCTATATCTTAATGAGCACTTTTATCGGAAAAAAATTATCCTTAATGAAAATTACTTGAAACCCTTCCGTCTTCATAAGGAGTAATAATTACTTGTTTCCACAACCGCAGATGACTATAGTTTGACTACCAGTTTGCCTCAGAACAGTAAAATGTAGGTAAATACAATCCTTCTTCTCAGTGAATAGGGAATCATCGCTCACTTGAAATTTAGAACTTCTGTGTGTATTTCGTGTGTGTACTCAACTCAAATAATCTGTGACATATCCACCTATAATCACCTTAGGCGAATACAAGGGTTTGTTGCATAAATCGTGCAGTTCCGAGATACAAATCAGAGTCCAACTGACAGTAGTATCCTAATCTCTGTGACTTCAGCTGATACAGAACAGAGTCAATCCCACTGTCTGAGATGCACTTCAACCTTGTAATGGTTATTCGAACTTTAATCCCACATGGTCTTACTTAACTTGCTTTATTTTTATTTTTTCACATTAGGATCACAGAAAATTCACCAGCGCACATGCTACAAAACAGGACTTACCAAGCAGTGCCAGAATTTCTAAGAGTCAAGGTATGTTTTTCAGGAGTCCAGTCAGCAAAACTGCGACTATCTAACTCGTATGTGAAACACTTAAGACCGGCTTCTGTACCCGTAACCAAAGACCTGTTCACAAACGACTGTCCAGGTGGAGTTCGTGGGATTTTGTCTCTGCTTTTAAAGGGATCCATCGGTCACAAGCAGTCTATAAGGAGATAATCAAAAGCACTCAATCACAACAGCAAGACTACCAAAAACATAAGTGTGTTGGTGAAACTGTTTAGTCAGGCATAATCACACTCAACTTATGGAGGGAAAACACGGATAAGTTAATACGTCTAAAAGATTTTCGTACAGATTTCTATGTACCCTGAACATAATATGGGATTCTTTGGGAAACAATTGAAGATACAATTGGCTGCAAGACTAGAACGCAACAACGCAACGCTCTCGTAAATGTATTCACTGAGATGATCATAAATCTCATTCTGGTTCTCCAATCAATATTCAGTATTCTGTTCTTCGATCCGTCCACTAAACAGGTACCTGTTTCATATATCTTTACCTAAACGAAAATTTTCTATCCAGTTATACATACTAGTATGTAGGATTTTAATGATAGCTATAAAGCTATCATTAAAATCCTAACAAATGTACTCCAGCAGAAATAGTTGGACAACTTACCACAACCACGTGAGCAGTTCACCACAGATAGTTTACTGGCGGATTCTGGGGCTATCCTTGCGGTTTCGGTTTAAAAAAACAAATAAATGATTCGACATCACATTCACTTCATTCCCACCATATTTTAAGTATTCCAATTTTGGTGTACTTATAGTAGCTTAAATTTATTGAAATATGCATATTTCCAAGAAATCATGATTCATCACATCTTTGAACACGACGGACACCCTCTTCGTCAAACGTTCCTTATTGTAAGCCCGGTCGTCAAGCAAGCGTCTGAAACAGAGAGCGAAGCCCACGTTGACAGGGTGATCACACAGGTACCGTGTGCTAGTGAGAACGAAGACTCAAGGCCAAGGTTTGTATATTTGCAACCAATCATAATACAGTTGTGTGAGAGAGGAAGGCTCTTCCCATTGGTCACGCGTTGCATCGTCTTGGGCGACCAATCCCTGCACGCTACATAGCCAACCTGAAACTAGACAAGCATAGTTTAACCATTGGAAAACCTCCGAACTTGCCATGCCTTACACTACCCGGTCTCCCATAGATGCACTGCCCGCAGTGCTAGGTGACTGTGTCCGCAGGACTTGCCTGAACTAAGGCGTTTCGCCGGAAAGGTTTCAATCTGTTGAAATATATGACTAGATTATGAGCGGAATGGGTTTCCTCGATCATACAGGTGCAGCCACTAAGCATCTCCCCTACAGCAAAATGTCCTTCCCAGCGTTTATGGAATTTGGGAGTCTTCTTTTTAAGTGGCGCCTCGTTTAGTAGCATTACCTCGTCTCCTGGTCCACAGGTGATCCATGTGCTTTCCTACCATAGTATTCTTTCTGGTACCTCTGGTTTGTTCGAAGTCTATCCCTAGTCATTTGGTGTACCTTGTTCGGGTTTCGTCTCAGTCTGATTACGTGTTCTGATGCAGTCAGTGTGTTCCCTCCTAGTGCGTTTGAGGTCGGATCAATTGGCAGCCAGAGTTCTCTTTCGGTAAGTGCTTGAGGCGTAGCTTTGTGAATGCTTGCTTTGTACGCCATTAAGCACTGTGAAAGTGATGGGTCCCACTCAATAGAGTTGTTTCGGTCTACAAATTGTAGCGGTAAATAATTCCCAAAAATTATTGACCACAGCAATCATCACTCAACATTGGATGCTGACCATCACTGTTTAAGTCGACTTGTTTAGCTGAAGGCTTACGGTCAAGCATCCCCGCCATTTGGTACTCCGTCGTGTCACGTGCGTGCACGATTCCTAGCTAGCTAAGCATTCACCTCTACCCGCAATTTTGTCCCGAGATATACTACGTACTTTGGACGACAAAATCTGGTCTTTTGCTTTATCTTTGGTGCTCGAAGAACGAACACTATAGAAGTTGTTGGTATAAGATCTTGCGTTAGTATAATCCGTACAACTCGCGAACGTCGATACCTGCAACCTCTAAACTGGTGAGCGCGACCACGAACTACATCTTCAATTCACACGCAGATAATCCCGGTGAGTTCGTTCCTTTTTGTGTTTATTCTTGTACTCTTTTGTAATCGGCATATATTTCGTCATGAGTGACCCTAGCTCCAAGGTTATTCGGATTCGCTCAACCACCATAACAATCCAGCTAGTACCATATTGGCCAGATAATGCTGAAACGTGGTTTCAGATTGCTGAGTCCGATTTTTGTGAACATGGCATAACCGAACAACGTTCACAGTTCCTTGCAGTTATTCACGCCCTACCGCGGGAATTCAGCAAGTGCGTAACTCTGCAGATGTCGTGTCCAGAGGTAAGTAACCCCTACGAGTTGCTCAAAGCATCCCTCCTCAAGAGAAACCTTCTCACGGATTGACAACGTCTGGATGAGTTATTTCGTAACATCGAGTTAGGGGATCAGTCAGCCGTGAGCATGCTGGCAAGAATGAAAGAGATCATTGGCCAAAGTCAGTTCGATGAAGGACTCTTCAGAGAACTATTTTTATCCAAACTGCCACAGTCAGTTCACACTGTACTTGTGACACTTCAGGGTGTTCTCATAGATGATTTAGCTGTCTCTGCAGATAGAATTCTAGAGATAACGAAACGGCCAGTTACCGAAGTATACTCTGTTACCGAACAGACTTCGAGGAAGGATTCTGCAATGATAGAGTTAATCAACTCCGTCCATCAGATGCTTAGGTCAAACAAGCCTAGCGATTCCTCCTATCGTCGTTCTAAATCCCACCAACGGCTAAACGCACGTGGACGATCTAAGTCCAACACACGTTCTCTCAAAAATCCTGACTGGTGTTGGTATCACAACACCTATGGCAAGGAAGCGAAATGTTGTCGAAAACCTTGTGATTTCAGCAAAGCCTCCAAGTCTGTGGGAAACTATCCCGCCGGCACGCGTTAGCGGCAACCGTCGCCGGTGGCACTAGCCGCTTACTTTACATCCATGATGTAATGAGCCAGACTAGATATCTAGTCGACACAGGCGCCGAAGTCAGCGTCCTTCCTGCCACAGCAGCAGATCGACAGAAGGATCCTAACTTCAACCTACAGGCTGCAAATGGAAAACCAATTGCAACCTATGGTCGGAAATACGTCTATCTGAACGTAGGTTTACGCAAACCTATTCAGTGGATTTTCCTAATCGCTGACGTCACAATGCCCATCATTGGCACGGACCTACTTAATCATCATGATTTGCTCGTAGACGTCCGCCGTAAACGACTAATTGACAACACTACTAGTTTGTCTATCAAGGGCATAACTTACGAAGGCCCCAGCTTGTCAATCGTTAAGATGAAAACAATCCTCGATCCAACTTTTCAACCGATTGTTGACAAATATCCGGAACTCAACTGCCCATCTAACGATCTCCCGTGTATAACCAGCAATGTTATGCACCACATCATAACCTCAGGACAGCCCGTGACATCTAAAGCACGACGACTGGCCCCTGACAAACTGAGAATTGCTAGAAATGAGTTCGATCATATGCTCACCCTTGGCATCATTCGGCCATCGAATAGTCCATGGGCATCCCCGTTGCATATGGTACCGAAAAAGGATAGCAACGATTGGCGACCCACTGGTGATTACCGGCGAGTGAACGCCAAAGCAACTCCTGATTGCTACCCTTTGCCTCACATCCACGACTTGACGGCAACGTTAACTGGAGCATCTATATTCTCAAAAATCGACTTAGTTAAAGCGTATAACCAAATCCCGATGGCAACGGAAGATATTCCGAAAACGGCTATCATCACACCTTTCGGACTTTACGAATTCATACGTATGCCACTCGGCCTCCGGAATGCGGCCCAAACATTCCAACGCTCCATCAATGAAGTATTTCGCGGTCTCGACTTTGTATACGCATACTTAGACGACTGCCTCATTGCCAGTCCAGATAAGGAAACTCACCTTAGACACTTGGACTTGGCATTTGAAAGGTTACGCCAACATGGTGTTACCATCAATATCCAGAAGTGTCAAATAGGCGTTGACTCACTCGATTTTCTGGGTCACACTATTGACTGTCAGGGCATTCGCCCACTGGCTACTAAAGTCGAAGCGATACTGAACTTTCCGGAGCCAAAGACAGTGAAAAGTCTTCGCACTTGTAACGGCTTGGTAAGTTATTACCGACGATTTATTCCTAATTGTGCTTCTCTGATTCAGCCATTAACAGATCTCCTTCGAGGGAATAACAAGTCTATCGAACTCGACACGTCTTCTCGACATGCTTTTACTCAGGTAAAGAAAGCTATTGCGGATGCCACCCTTCTTATGTATCAGGATCCAACGGCACCGTCAAGTATCTCAGTTGATGCATCAGACACTGCAATCGGTGCAGTTCTGCAACAACTAATTAACAAAGAGTGGCAACCACTCGCCTTTTTCTAGAGGCGCCTTCAATTAGCTGAAACAAAGTACAGCACATTCGGAAGAGAACTTCCAGCTATGTACTGTGCTATACGTCATTTTCGACGTTCAGTTGAGGGTCGTGAATTCACCATTTTCACTGACCACAAACCTCTGACGTACTCTCTGAACTCAATTTCAGATAAGTATTCACCCAGGGAATCACGGCAACTAGATTACGTTTCACAGTTTACATCAGATATTCGCCATGTATTCGGAGTGAACAACACTGTGGCAGATGCCTTGTCACGTATTTGTTCCTTCACCCAAATCGACGGCATAGACCTTGTAAAACTGGCTCGTCTTCAAAAAGAAGATACCGAGCTTCAGCATGAGTTGTCGAGAACAACTCTACAATTAGACGAGAAACCCTTAGGTATAGTAAAAGATACTATTCTGTGTGACATTTCCACTAGTACTCCTCGCCTTATCTTGCCTAAAAGTTATCGCCGTAACGTCTTCAATACGTCGCATGGCTTATCACACCCAGGTATTCGAACTACCGTCAAGCTCGTAACTAGTCGGTTTTGTTGGCCTGGTATTAATAAGGAAGTAAGAGAATGGGCACAGACCTGCTTAGATGGCCAAAGGTTCAAGGTAATAAGACACACCAAAAGCCCCCTTGGCACTTTTTTTCTCCCAGATACCCGTTTTGAGCAAGCCTTCTTCCAGAATCTCATGGATACACCTATATGTTAACCTGCATCGATCGCTTCACACGATGGCCTGAAGCAGTAACTCCATAATGGTTAAGATTTTATTTTGATATATGACACAGTGTTGTACAGTTATATTAACTGATGACGTTTCGAGCACAAACTATTGCTCATAATCATATCAAGTTACTCACACAACTTCTTTCCTTCATTTATATACATGTGTGGAATCGATTCGATATTGGATTCCACACATGTATATAAATGAAGGAAAGAAGTTGTGTGAGTAACTTGATATGATTATGAGCAATAGTTTGTGCTCGAAACGTCATCAGTTAATATAACTGTACAACACTGTGTCATATATCAAAATAAAATCTTAACCATTATGGAGTTATACTCCACCACAGTGCCCAAGTTTTATACTTATATCAATAATACATATAGCCTGAAGCAGTACCCATCAAGGATATATCTGCTGAAACT